TACCAGACGGTTTGGCTCCCCATGCAGGAAACAACCGTAAAACTTGGACATAGAACAAAGAGCAATGATCTGAAGGCAGTGAAGAGTGAACTTGTGCAGACAGATGGTGGGAGTGCAGCTCACGTGGAGAGGAAAGGAACTCCACAGGCGCGGCAGGTGCTACGCCTCGACTGTGGCGGTGGCTGCATTTCACCACACTGTACCCTTAGAATGTGCACATTTATTTTATTGTATATAAGTACTTATTTTGTTGTATGTAAACAAATCTAAATAAATACCTAGATATTTATAGGTATGTATTATTAATTATATTCCTAGGTTTGTTTTAAATAAGGCGTTGGGGCATTATTAGAATACGCACAAATAGAACTAAGTTTTTCAAACGGGCCCTTTGAATGGCTTAACCCCCAAACTTGGCCCAAAGATCGAAGTTCATGCTGGGGAAATGGTTATATGTGGATTAAAAAAGCAGTTCATTTTGGGTTGATCAGGGAGAAAGCAATGTGTTGCCTGCAATTATATTTTCTCCCTTTCGTTAACTTCTGTAACCCCTCCCATGATCATTTTTGTAACTTGCTCTGTTTTTCCCCCTCTTTTTTCTACCAAACCAGTCTTTTGTAAGCAAAAAAGAAAATGAGTAACAGACGCAAGCTTATGTTTAATGGTCTAAGACCAAATTTCCTGGACTTAAAACAAACACTTTGTCCCTCAAAGTTTCGCATTCCATTAAGATATAGCTGCCTGCCCTCACTACAATTCATGAGCCCAAAATAGTTTTAAAAACAAACTGACAGGACCGACATCACAGAGTCACTCATTGCATTCTGCTTATTTTTATCATTCAGAGAACAAAAGCTTTCATTTCATAGACATTTTGAGAAAAGTGTTTTTAAAGACTCTAAACTCTATTCTGGTCTCAACAATTTTGTTTTTGTATCTGAAGAGATACACTAGATTATCAAACAAGGCCTTTTACTATAATTGGCTCTGGTTCAAAGACAAATGTAGAAACCAGAAGGACAAATTGTGAATTCCAGTAGTTAGAACTCACCTGAGGAGAAATGGGTACCTTACTACTAAGTCACAGTACTGGGCTAAATAATTTGAATCCAAAGAAGACTTTTAGTACAAAAGTTATTTAACATTCACTCACTGCCCTGATACTTCTAGGGGTAAAAATGTGAAAATTTTCATCACCCCCAGAGCCAACTAAGGACAAACTATTCGATCATTCTTGGTTGCAGTATCTTCATCAGTGAAACATGAAGGCCACGCTCAATGAGTTCTAAAACTACTGAAGTTCACAATTGCCACCTCTCACATTAGCACATCTCTGCACCACCCCGGCACACAAGCGGTGGCTCCCCCGCAACAGTTCAGTATGACTTTGGGCTCCAGTCTTAGAATGGCCTGAGTTCAAAACCCGTCTGCTCTACTCACCAGCTTGATGACCCAGGACAAGTTACTCAACTTTCCTGTGCCTCAGCGCCCTCACCTGTGAAATACCTGATAGAGACAATAGCTGAGTGCTCGGCTCACAGAAAGTGCTTGATGAGTGCTGGCAGCCGTTACTGTTGTAAAATGACCAGAGTAGGCCAGCCTGAACCAGGATCTAAAGGGGAGCAAACAGGAGCCACCCTGCAACTCCACCCGAGGATAAACTTTTAACCATCAAACCAACAGCCTCTGGAGAATCTGTCATTCCCAGTGCAATCAAATGGCCTCTTAATGAGCTCAAGTTCAGAGGACACATGCACTGTAGAGGCCAGACGTGTGACCTTTAAGGTGCTCCCCAGCCCTGGTATTTAAGATCCGCAGACCTCATCTCACAGTAGGATGCTTATGGTAAGACATATGGCACTGCTGAGAGGCACCCCTAAAGACCTCACTATCCAACAGTTAACTACAGACCCCAGGGCTAGTCCTGCCCAGCCCTATCTTTCATCATTAGCCAATTTTGGATCCCAACTGGGTAACTAAGGATTGTGACTACATTTGCATGTGTCTGTTTATCTAAAATGAAAATGGTATTCTCACCTGATTAGGGCTTCAGGAAAAGATGACCGTGAGCCCAGCTGGTGTGGCTCAATGGTTGAGCATCAACCTATAAACCAGGAGGTCATGGTTCAATTCCCAGTTGTGGGTTCGATCCCCAGTAGGGGGCGTGCAGGAGGCAGCAGATCAGTGATTCTCTCTTATCATTGAGTTTTCTCTCTCTCCCTTCCTCTCTGAAATATATATCCTATTTAATAAAGAGGTGATATGCAAATTGACCATCACACCCTCACAAGAGGGCTGCCTATGACCAGGCTGGCAGGGGGGTTAGTGAGGGACAACCACACGACTGACCAGCAGGCTGCATGGGATGACCAGGCCAGCAGGGCGGGTAGTTGGGGGTGATTAGGTTGGTGGGGAGGAGTCAGTTAGGAGTGACCAGGCCGGCAGGGAGGGGGCAGTAAGGGGTGACCAGGTTGGTGGGGAGGAGTCAGTTAGGAGTGACCAGGCCGGCAGGGAGGGGGCAGTTGGGGGCGACCTGGCCGGCAGCAGGGGGCAGTTAGGGGCGACCAGGCTGGCAGTAGGGGCAGTTAGGGGTGATCAGGCCGGCATGCAGAGGCAGTGAGGGGCGATCAGGCTGGAGGGGGGGCAGTTAGGGGCAACCAGGCAGGCAGGCAGGTGAGCGATTAGGAGCCAGCGGTCCAGGATTGTGAGAGGGATGTTAGACTGCTGGTTTAGGCCCGATCCCCTAAACCGGCAGTCGGACATCCCCTGAGGGGTCCCAGAATGGAGAGGTTGCAGGCTGGGCTGAGGGGACCCCCGCTCCCATGCATGAATTTCGTGCACCGGACCTCTAGTATATATAAAACGACCATGAAACTCTCCCAGGAAAGAATACCAATTGCATCCTAATTTATAAATTAGGCAATTTACAAAATAAGATCTAGAGAACTTCTGCAGTTCTTTCTTTTTCATCCTCCTTATGCTCAGGTTCCTTCTTTCTCTTCCTTCCATGATGGGAATAGGGGTCAGCCCGCCATGGCCTGCAGGCCAGGTCCACCCACAGCCTGATTCCATAAATAACGTTTCACTGGAACTCGGTCGCTCCCACTTGTTTACAGACCATCTGTGGGGCTTTCAGCTACAGGGCAGAGCTGAGTGGCTGTGGCCTGAGATCACTTACCACCTGGCGCTTCACAGAAAACGTTTGCTGCCTTGTGGCCCACAGGAAGCTAGCTCACAGGAAGTAGCCCATTATTAGAATAAATAATAATGACTATCACGTCATTCAATATCCAACAAATAATTATGAAATGCCCCTAAGTGCCAGGTTCTGGAAGCATATGACATGGGACCACAAAGGTGAGAGTGTCAGACAGGGCCCCTGCCCCCTGGTGCATGCAGTTTAGTCAGGGAAGACAGAACAAGCACAGCCAACAGTTACTTATTCACATCTAAGCTGAGACCTGGACGTGGATTTCCCGGCTCTGAACTGGCAGGGAACGTGAGGGCTCCTGGATGCCACATGAAATGGGAATGAACTCTAGTATGCTTTCCAGTCTGGGCTTACTCCATCCATCCCACTAGCCGTGCAGTGCAAGGACCGGGGACTGTAATAAAGTTTAAGACACTTGACTATTCCATCTCCAAGCAGGAAAGCCAAGCCAATAATCAATCATAAGTCATGTGCACTTGCTGGAGCCCTGATACCAACACGTGACCGGGAGACAGTTCTTTAACGAGCTCCGGGCCTTTAAGCACAGAAAACCAGCCTCACTGAGTCACACTGACTTTCACACTTGGGAGAAGATTTGATGGAGCATAAACAGATGCCCTGAAGCTCTGGGGCACTTCTGGCTGTCATGTGGGTTTGAAGTTTCTCAGTGCTGCCTGTCAAGATTGAACAAGTGGCTTAAGCATTCACATGCTCTGCTTCCCAAATCCAGGAAGGCTCGCTAAGCCACGCCAGCATTCTCTGGGAACACAGACCACCCCCCAACCCTGAAAACGGGCAGGTCCTTCCGGACAAGGTGAGTGCTAAAATAGATGGAGGAAGGATGTAAGGAGCAGGAAGAAGTGTTGCAGAATAAATGTGTTTTATAAAGTCTTCCTCACACTTCCTAGCTCTGGTTCTTCCTCCGAGCTCTACTGGCTGAATGAGCAGATTTATCCCTCTGTTTAGAGGAAATGGAAGTGCAGGGAGATCGGGCATCTACCTTCAGGTCAGGAGCATGTCAGTGAGAGCCCAGGCCTTAGAAGATGCAGCAACTGTTCCAAAATTATTTGCTTGAGGCCATGCCTACAAAACTGTTCACTTCATGGAGCTGCACAGTCCCACTAAATGTAGGGGGTTATCTTTAAAGAGGATCAGTCAACTTAAGGCCAGGAAATGTTCTTGATTTAAATGATACCACCTTGGCAGGCTCCACGGACGATTCCTTCCCCTTTGCCCAGGTGGGTCTGGGTGTCTGGCATGGTCCATGGATTGGCCAGTGTGAGCATCTGGCCGCTGCTCTAAAAACCTTTCTGTACCACAGCCAATGGTTACCTCCAACACATCTCCATCAGAATAAAAGAGAAGTCAAAGGAGTCAGAGATCAACTATATTACACCAATTTTCATGACAAGTACCTAATAGTGAAAGGTTCCCTGGATATTCTCCTACTTGGACAAAAAAGGAAGGAGGGAAGAAGGCAGGCAAAGAAGAATTCAAGCATTCTTAAGATGCTTCTATTCTGATAGCAGTTTTAAAAAATAATTTTGCCAAATGCCTTGAAATATCAGAATAATTTGGGTATATCTCCCAATATGATGAGGAAATATTGAGCTAAAAATAATGATTTTTTAAAAAAATATATTTTTATTGATTTCAGAGAGGAAGGGAGAGGGAGAGGGAGATAGAAACATCAACGATGAGAATCACTGATCAGCTGCCTCCTGTACGGCTGGATCGAACCCGGAACCCGGGCATATGCTCTGACCCGGAACCAAACCATGATCTCCTGGTTCATAGGTCGACACTCAACCACTGAGTGGAGGAGTTCCATGCAACTAAAGGGTGCCCCTACAGAACGCAGAGAGAGGAGGTGCTGTAATAGGAGCTTTGCAGGGACTCAGGAGGAGCTGCAAGCGCTGGCAGCCCACAGGAGGTAAACCAGTGGGCCCATATGTGACCACACCTAACCCGTCCTCCCTGACGACGCCTGAGAGAAACCCACAGAAGGTGCAATGAAACCCAATGGGGATTCAGAGTAACCGCCTTGTGCTCCATGTAGGTCAACGGAATTCATGTTTATGTCACCGTGATTTCTGCTTCACATGGGCCCTTATAGAAATACAAAAATAGCCAGAGGGATTCGCTTATAGAAAATTATTTTAGTCTCTTTTATGTTCTATAAGAGACAGAAAACCAAATTACCTAAAATAAGAACCAAGGGTAAGATGATGATTAGAAGATTCACTGAAAATGTTAAATTACTATTATTTTCTTAATATATTTTTATTGATATTTAGAGAGAAAGGAAGAGGGAGAGAAAGAGAGAGAGAAACATCGATGTGAGAGTGCAACATGGAACAGCTAATCTCCTACTGGGGATTGAGCCCATAACCATGTCATGTGCCCTGACAGGGAATCGAACGAACCGGCAACCTTTCGGTGCATGGAATGATGCCCAACCAACTGAGCTACACCGGCCAGGGAAAATTACTATTATTTTTAAAACAAGGTGGTCCCACACATTCTTTTGCTGTTAACTTTTAAAACCCATGGGAATTATGAGGAAAATCCAAAGTATATATGAGTTCGGACTCATTTACACATATTACTCATCAATTTAAATGAATAAATGAATGCTCAAAAAAATCTTGTTCTTTGAGAGAGATACAGTTTAACAGCTAGAATCCAACTCACAAAGACTTAATTTTAACCAAATATGTTGAACCCATATGGCCCAAAGAACCCCAAAGGGGCGGAGGTAAGTTCTTGGGTGTCCTGGAACACAACTTGGTTTTATCCTGGAATAACACAAGCACAAGCCAGAGCTAATCAGCTCCTACTCAACCCAAGAAACTAGTAAGAGTCCCTCTACCCACCTAGTTTCCCCACATCTAATATTTTATTTTTGGTTTTCTGGTCTAATGATGATGGAAATTCTGCAGTCATCAATTTTTCAGAAAGAAACGATTAAAAAGTTTCACTTACTGAGAAGACAGTGCTAAAAGTGAATGATGACAGACATTTCCAGGACTCTGGTGTGTGTGCATGTGCGTGTGCATGACAAATAAACGAATAGAAGAAGCAGAAATCTCAGTAAGTTAAAGAAGTTAAAAGACAAAGACACACAGCCAGACCAAACAGGATGTCTTGTTTTTCAGGAGCAATTTGGCTGCAAAAATATTTGAAAAAAAAAAACAACAAGCAAGCAAAAGCAGAAAACAAACACACAAAACTCTGAATGCAATACTAGGATGTATAGAGAAAACAATTTGTCACAGTCCTCAAAGTCCTGAGCACTTAATCCAGTGAGATTTTTAACACAGAGCCATCTCCTAACCGAGAGGAGCACAATCATGGCCCTGCTTAACGTTCCCCCAACCTGCACAGCTCAGTGGCGACTGCCCAGGCACTGCACCAAGGCCTTCATCAGGCTCCAACTAAAGAGCAGAGCTCAGTGTTTGAAAGAAAACTGCCCTGGACAGCAGGAAAATTTAGAAATCAGGCCAGGAAGGACCTTCCCCTTCCATTAACTAAGAGGTGTTACAGAGCTCCTACCGACAGCTCATTCTGCGAGAGTGTGCTGGGTGTTCTTGGACTGAATGCTTAGCTTCCCCATGAACACCTAGCAAAAGAACCAAACATGCTATTCTCTCCTCTGACTTTCCTTCTAACTTTTCCACTGGCCAAGGTGTTTGTCAGAGGCTTCCCAACTGAGCCTCAGCTCCTTGCAAGGCATTACCCAGAGAAATCACTACTCCGCTTGGCAGGCCTGCCCTTCTCTCAGCCAAAGGCTAGCATTTCAAAAGACTCACTTGAGAAGGTTGGCTCCTCTGGAGTGCGCAATGTGAATAATTATGGTTACAAGGTATTTGGCAAGTGCTCTAATAATAGAGTTTCAAAAGAATATGTAGATCATGAAACACATTAATAACTCTGAAGCGAGGCAGTAATTCATGCCTGCCATTCTGTACCCACATGCTAAAATGAGTCTGACAGAACGCATCGCCCATCACTAGCCTTCTGGGCATGTCTGCACCTATTGCTATTATACTTGCTCACTTAGCTATGGGCCACTGTGTGAGGTGACTCCACAGGTTCAAACTTCAACTTATTATCTAATCCCAACGTGTTCCTTCTTCCTGATTGTTCTGGTCACACTCCTGTCTTTCTTTTACTGCCTTATTCAATTGGTCACCAAGTCCCTAATTGTCACTTGCTTATCTTCCCCTACTCTCCATTACTACTTCTGTCTTAGTTAAGACCTCTACCTCTCTTGCCCAGACACTAAAATAGCTGTTATTAGTCTCCTTGCCTCCAGGTTAGTTCCTAATGAATGTCTCTTGTACTGTTCCTAACAAGCTTCTAAAATATAAGTCTTGCAATCAATAAATTCATAAACACATTTGAAAAAAAAATAGGTGCATATTTTTTTATAATCTTGGAGTGGGAAGAAGCATTTCTGAGCATAATAGAAAATCTAGAAGGCATAAATATAGTTACTAAAAAAATCTGTAAACTAAAGGACATTATCATCAAAGGTAAAAAAACAACTGGGGGAAGTAGCGGCAACACAGATGGCAGGAGACATGCTAATTTCCTTAATATATAAAGAGTTCTTATGACTCACTAAGAAAAATACCTACCTGTAAATTTGAAATAACATACCGAGTCCATCTCTTCCCCACACTAGGAGAGGAAAAGCTAATGCAAACAATTATGAAGCGTGACTATGGCACAAAGTGTCCTGTAGAGACAGGCATTAAAAAATTGCTTAGATATCACTATGAGCAAACTTGCTTCAAATGCCCTGCCTAGATTCAATGATATCACATGTCAACAATGAGATACCTGTAAACAGTTGAAAAATGCCTCTGGACTCTGTTTCTGCCTTTGGAGCACAATGGAGCATGCTCACACAGAACAAATCATTGCAAAAAAGCCGGAAGAGCCTCTTGGCCTACATCGTTAATGTTTTATCTTCTGAACTCACACAACACCAAACCCCGTCATTCCATGAGCACAGCCATGGGCTAAGAGGCCAGATGGAACTAACTGGATTTCCCACTTTGACCTGAACTAAGTGAGAGAACGCTATCCCCTGACATAAGGCAGAGGATCAGCAGAGCAACATTGCTGACAGAACTACCACAAGGACACCGACTCTACTCAGGCAGCTGATCACCCAACAGCCAGGGAAGACATGCAGGTACCACAGGTGACTCATTTTTCAAAGGAAAGCTCAGAGGAGGTGGTAAAGCTGCTGTACCCTCAGGAAGAGATACATTCTGTAGGAAAGTAAATAATTCAAGATGCCGATGGAGCTCTTCATGGGAACCTGGAGCACAGGGCAGCTCAACTGCTGCAAGACGACGAGGAAGGCTCTGATACAGAAGGCCTGGACAGCATGAGTGTCCGTCCGCCAAAACAAAACTTAAAAATGAAGCTGGGACTAATCCCTGGAGTGCGATCAGGAGTAAATGTGGGGGAAACAAAGGAGCTTAACCCAACCAAACAGGACTGCACCTTGAAAATTTCACCAATGATTTCCCCGCCTTGAAAATGCAGGGCTGTACCGAAGGACCGGCATCAGAATTCCACTACCACCCCACATGGATGGTCAATGTCAGGTAACATTGTTCCTTGAACTGTCTTTAGTTAGTAAACCCTTAACTCACCATGTTGTTGAGATTTATGCCAGAGAAATGAATTCAGTTTTCTAAACAACCTTAAAAAAGGAAGTTGTATTTTTACATTTCTGACCTGTACAATGGATTTGCAGAAATTCTAACCCTGACCGATGGTTTCTCAAAACCCATTGCCTTTGGTGAAATTAACACAATATTCTCCCAATAATCCGGAGGCATGGGAAGCCACTGTTTATTTCATTCTGGCAGACACGGGCTCAGTGATTTTTTGGCAACCAGAGTCACATATGCAGATATATGATGTGGTCCTTCAGGTGGCCCAGGTCAGAAGGTCAGAATAAACATTACTAAAATAATACCCAATAACTTTGGCTTTATCTCTGGCAGACCTAGGAGGCCCAACGGCTTATGTGCTAAATTACAAAACCCCAAAGGTACACAGCACAAAACCTACTTAAAATTAACACGATTCTTTGTTCAGGCCCCTGGGTTTTAAAAATACCAACGCTGGGATGGATAAACATGGAGACTCACTCTGAGAAGCATACAGGCCCTCCACGGCTCTGTCTTCATGGCCGTCATACTCCCTGCTGGACAGCTGCCTGTTGGCAGTCTCCAGTCGATCTGTGCACAGAGAGAAAAGGATTATGAAGAAATGTGTATGGATCTAAGTCGTCATCAACTGAGAAATGACGTGGGAGCCAAGAGCTGGGTATGAAAAGATGCTCAGGCAGGAGCCCCAAACTGAACAACTTTTGGGGAGGAACAATACATCCCAAAATGTCAAAAGAAGTCTTCAGATGCCACACTGTGCCTTCATGCAATGGAATGCCAAGATGTGCACCAGCAGGGGGCAGCTAAGAACAGATTCCAAGAAAAACCACTTTGCTGCCTATGAACAAACCTCTGATTTGAAGTCCTTGCAAAGGGTTGACTCCTTGGCCCCAAACCCAGCCCTAGTCTAACCCTGACCACGAGCCCTCTGTTTTAGCCCGCAAATGCTACCTGTATCTTAGAACAACAATTAAATACCAAAAAAGGTCAAAATGACCTAATGGATGAAGATTCTACACAGTTAGTTCTACATTTGCTCAAAGCACCTGGCAAATTTTCATTTATTCCATTAAATAATTCGGCTTAACAGGTCTTCATTGAATGTACACGATATGCAAGATAGAGATTTGTAATAATAGAAAAAGTAGGAGACTACATACAAGGCAACTGAAAAATGGCTTGGCTGATTGAAAGTGAAGTTAAATTTTACGCATTGAGTTATTCTGTATGTTGGAGGTTGCCAAAACCCTGTAGCAGGTGACTCCTAGTTTTGGGGAAGTATATACATATACTAGAGGCCCGATGCACGAATTCATGCAAGAGTAGGCCTTTCTTCCCCCAGCTGCCGGCACCGGCAGGCACCTGGGACCTGGGCTTCCCTTGCAGCCCTGGCTTCATCCAAAGGTCGTCCGGTCTAATTAGCATATTACGCTTTTATTATTATAGATACACATCTGTCGGCCTATTGGCCTTTATTTTCCCACCAGAGGGACACGTCTAGCCTGTCTTCTACACTATACCAAGCAAGTGTTCAGCTTTGGCTTTTACAGCCTGTGTGGGAAGAGCTGTGCATCTAACACTCTTTTCAAAGTTGCCACTCACATAGTCACAAGTCACAGTCAGTACTTTTCAAGCCAGAAGCAGCTGCACACCCACTCCCTAGCTTTGCATATAGGCTGTCACTTCTCAGGCTCGGTGCTGAAACCTACACCCTACAAGGCAGAAAGGAACAATTCCGCTCTCTGAGAGCCCTTTCCCAGGTGGTTGGAATTTCCAAGGTTATCTCACACAGTTGGGACCTGAAGTCAGGCTGTTGGTCACAGAGCGCTTTGGGACAGAGAGAAAACATGAACGGAAGCTGACGTGCCTCGGAGGTCCCTGTTGAAGTCGTGGAGTCTTCGAATCTCGCCCTCCAGTTTGTTTCTCATCGCCTTGTCCAGTGACTCTCGCTTGGTGGTGGACTTGACCAGACTCTCATAGGCTTCCGAAATCCTCTGAAGTTCTTTTTCAAACTACAAGAAAGAAGTGACATGAAAGTGGGACTCTGACATTCCCATCGGTGCCTTAGTTACACCAACTCTTTAAAAAAAATGTTTATATTGATTTCAGAGAGAGGAAGGGAGACAGAGAGAGAGAGAGAGAGAGAAACGACAATGATGAGAGAGAATCATTGATCAGCTGCCTCATGCACACCCCTTACTGGGGATCGAGCCTACAACCTGGGCATATGCCCTGACTAGGATTTGAACCGTGACCTCCTGGTTCATAGGTCAACGCTCAACCACTGAGACACACTGGCCCGGTCTACACTGCCTCTTTGACATTCCAAGTGTGAAAGCTGTATCTTCAATGTGGCCTTTTCTGCACCTCAAGTTTCATGTCTACCAAATGGTGTAATCAATTTCACCCCCACCCCCGTCTGCCTTCTGAGGGCTACATTAGGGTCCCGCAAATAGCAGACTCACAAGTCTGGGTGGACCATCTGATGTCACCTTGGAAAAATCTCTCTGTACCAATTCCAGAAAGGGTGAATTTAAACACAACTTAAGCCTCTTATATTTTGTACAGCAATTTACAACTATTACTAGAGGCCTGGTACACGGATCTGTGCACCGGTGGGCTCCCTCAGCCTGGCCTGCGCCCTCTCGCAATCTGGGACCCCTCGAGGGATGTAGTAGTGTGTGAAGCAGCAGGCGGCAGGAGAGGAGCCCGAGCCAGGGCCAAGCGCCACGCCACTCCCGCTCACCCGGGCCCCGCTGTGCCTGCTGCCACTGCGGCCACTCAGTAGTGCTGCCGAGTAGGCGGGAGAGGCTTGTGCCACCGCAGCTGCACTCACCAGCCATGAGCCCAGTGTCTGGTTTCTGTCGGTCAGCTGAGCGGCGCTCCCACTGTGGGAGCGCACTGACCACCAGGGGGCAGCTCCTGCATTGAGCATCTGCCCCCTGGTGGTCAGTGCATGTCATAGTTACCGGCCGGTCGTCTAGTGGTTTAGGGTTTTATATATATAGATTATTATTCCCAGTTAACATAAAGGAAAATATTAAATACAGAACTAAAGGACCACAACTGGAACCCAAATTTCCAGACTCCAAGTACAGTGCTCATCCAGAAAACTTCCTTTTATGTTCCCATCCCCAAAGGAACATAAAACCCACTTGAGGAGATGCTGCTTTATTTAGCATTTTTACTCCCTTTCCTATGAAACTATCTATATAAAGGAATAATGAACTTGAAGCTAATTATAAACAAATGTACCACAGACAATCTCTTTGTATGAAGGAATTGAAAAATATGGGATTAAACCATTTTTTTTTGCTCTTTTTTTGTATTTCACTAAATCAAGAGCTGTAACTGGGAGAGCATTTAATCTGCAGCATATATAAATCTATAAGAGGTAGCTCTAACTGTGGTAACAGGAGTTTAACTTACTAATGAGTTTCTGAAGTAGCTATCAATAAATCCCGTTTTAGTGTTGTGTGACCTAAATAAATGCCGGAGAAAGGATAGAGTGCCTGCAAACACAGAACCTTGATGTATTGCTAAAAGTCAGAACCAGAGGCAAGGCAGGCAGGGTTGAGAGCACTGGCGTCCCTCATTGGGCACCAAGAGACTTGCACCATGTTTTTGGTCTCCACTGGAGAGCTATGTCACCATGAGGCAGGCACCCCAATTGCCCTGATCAGAAGTCCCTGCTGAGGTTCCTATAAACAAAACATATCCTAACAGGTGTTCACTGTACACTCACTGTGTGTCTGGGTGCCAAGGATACCTGGTCTTAGGAACTCAATGTCTAGAGATGGCCTGCACCCAGACACATCCACTTCAGTAAAGCAAAGTCATAAGGGGTGTGGTGGTGTAATGCTACGACGGAGCTGGGCAGCAAGGCCATTTTGCAGGGCTGAGAAGAGTTTCTTTAGATAAGATTTCAGAGAAAATGCCATTGAAAATGAGTCTTGAGGGATGAATAGGGATTTGCCAAGCGGAAAAGAAAAGGCCAAAGGGCGTTGGCATCCCAGGCAGAAGATAGGTCCTGAGCCAAGGCCAAGCCATGAAAGTGCATGTCTCTGATGAGCGCGAGGGGCAAGTGGTAGGAGCCAGGGCCAAGTGGAAGGACTCTGTGGGCCAGGGAGAATTATGGGAGGACACACACCCATATAAGCAGAAGGGCAGCATGGTCTTACCTGAGGTTTTACAGAGATAAATTAAGGATGGGGTTGGAGAGTGGGGGTGGGGAGACAAGGCAGGAGAAAAGAAGTCCAAGGAAGAAGCTAATGTAAACAGCTCAGTGACCGATGACAAAGCGTGAACTAGGGTAACTATAGGGTGTCCCAAAATTCATGCAAGATTTGAATTTTGGCCAAACCGGTTTGGCTCAGTGGATAGAGCGTCGGCCTGTGGACTCAAGGGCCCCAGGTTCGATTCCGGTCAGGGGCATGTACCTGGGTTGCGGGCACATCCCTACTGGGGGCTGTGCAGGAGGCAGCTGATCGATCTCTCTCATCGATGTTTCTAGCTCTCTATCCCTCTCCCTTCTTCTCTGTAAAATTTCAATAAAATATATTAAAAAAAAAAGATTTGAATTTTGCATGAGCATTAACAACAACAACAACAAAAAGCCCAATTTTACTTGGTTTATTGAATCAGATTCTAATATCTGTTGCCCTTTGATTTCAATACCTTCAATTTGATAAGCATTACCAAGTACCAATTATGGCCCAGGAGCAGGGACAATGAAGACCAATGAAGACCATGGCTTTGTGTATGTGCCAGCAAAGCCGTGGAGGCCATTCACCTGATGTGCTATTCCATACATAACCCTGTACTATATACTTTATGAATCAATAAAAAATTTACAATTTTTAATTATAAACCTGTTTTATATCAAAATTACTTCTTGTATGAATTTTGGGACACCCTATACAAGGACAGATTCCAAAGACCCTGAGGAGTGGAATCAATAGGTCTTAGTGACGGTCTGAACTGGAAGGGAGAAAGATATCAAAGACAGCACAGGCATGCATTGCTTAGAAGATGGAGCAATAAGACTGGCCAAGATCAATGGTTGTCAGAGAAACCATTCTTTCTTTAGCAAAGAAAGAAAGCCAGTTCAGTGTTGGAGTTACCATGTCTGGGGAGCCAGCGGAACATCTTGGCGAGGATTTCCCCTTAGCAGGAGGAGACACAGGTGGGAAAGTAAGGAAGGGAACTGTGTCATGTGTGGATGACATGAAATCATACAGTGGAGACCACTTAGGGAGAGCAGCAGCAGATGAGAGGGCCACCCACGGGGAGCATCAACACTGCAGGGGTAGGGGCGGCAGAAGACCCAGTGGGAGAGACTGAAGCCAGTGACACCATGAGCCAGGAAGCCAAAACTTAAAGGAGAGAGAATGTGGTTAGTGCCCCCGGAGGCTACAATCGAGCCAAGATACATCTGAGGAGAGGACAGGGAAAGGCTGGGGAGCTGCAGGGTTTCTTTAGTGGCAGCTGACCAGGGCAGAGTCGAGAACACGAAGGCTCCTGTTGGTACTGTCTTATTTTCTCCAAGGCCTCCTAATACCAGAGTTGATACTTCCACGGTCCCCTCATTTCCACAGGCCTGTTTCTTCTAAAGAGATTATGATGGTCAGTAATGAGGCAGCAGACAGAACAGCATGTCCTGAATCCTGTTCATAGCTCTATCACAAATCATGTTCTTTCCTTTTGATTTATTTTGTTTTCAAAAGAGATGACTCCAAAATACCACCATTGCTATGCTAATTTCATCTATAAAAGGTGGCTTTTATTTTTGGACAGATGGACAGGGACAGTACTTGTCACGACCGAAGGGCATCACCTAGTCGCTATGTAAGGAGAGAGGACCATAAAACCTGATGTGTCCACCATCCACGGTAACAGAGTGCCAATGCTTCAAGCCCAGGACAACTAGGAAGCCTTCCTCAGCTGCACACCCATGGTACGTTCACCTGCTGTATTCACCTGACTGAACTCGAATGTGAGTATGCATTTTGTGACTGATTTGATTGTCAATTCCTTCAGGGCAGAAACAGTCTATAGCCCTAGCACTGTGTCCTGCCAGTGAAAAAATAAGTTTAATCTTTAAATTTATACCTCCTCAAAAACAGTCTTGGGCACTGAGAAATGATATCTGATCTTGGATTTTTTCCTTTCATTAAAAGAACTTCTCTCTGCACACTACGAAAGACAACTGCAGGATCCCTCTGACAGCCTAGTTTATAATCTCAAATATGAAACAATCGAGAATTGGGATTTGGTTATGTGCTTGTAGCTACCAAGAGAGAAAGGGCAAGAGTCTTAGTTCAGATAAGATACTTCCTGTGAGAAGTGACAGCTGTCACAATGGAGACAGATTAGTCTCCTTTATTGTAGTCATAGAGGACAGAACGATGACTATATGTAGGAAGTTAGAAGATGCAGATTTTGATTCAACATAAGAATTTCCAAACTACATTTTCCAGAAGCGCACTATGCCCAGTAGTGAGCTTCTCATCCCTGGAAGCATTCAAGTAAAAAAATAAAATAATAAAATAAATGACCTCCTTTCAGGATATGACACAAGGATTCCTAAGGGGTGGGAAACTGGACTAGAACCATTCTCAGAATTTCAAGTCCAAAGCTCTCTGAGTTCTAATTGCACACTCCTTCAGAACAAGAACCACACCCAATTCTTCAAATCCTTCATGTTCAGAGCATCTTAAGTCCTCCCTGACGTTTGTTAAAGACGAAGACAAGGCTGGACAGACTGGCTTTGTATAAACACCAACTGGGCCAGGTCAGAGTCTGAGTGTGACCTTGTGATGAGAATACTGGGTTTGCCTTCACAACCCCATCCTCCCTTCCAGCCCAGATGTCAGCAAGCTCTTAGGCCAGGTCATCCAGGGCCCTTGAACTCACAGAGAAGCACTCACTGTCCCAGAAACAGAACCACGAGCAGACTGGAAAGTCCTGGTGCCATGAAGCCAATAGGCAGACAAGGGCCCTGAGAAAATCCCAGCCATGCCAAACTCTGGGTACTGGCTTCTCCCCTGAGCACCTTCCTATGCACAGCTCAGGGACCCACAGGACCTACGGCAGATCTACCTACAAGTCCCAGGTTGCCCGGTCAGACAATTGAGCAGTGAGGGTGAGCCAAGGGGAGGCCTGGGACGAGGACGACCTTCGGCACACAAGGTGTGGAATGCGGAGTCCCAGACTGCCCAGTCAGAGCCACCACTGCTGAGCTGACAGGAGAGGGGCTTCACTACAGCAGGCCTGGGGTAGCCGTCACTGCCTCGCAGGCCTTCCAGCCCTCTCCCTCCAAATGTCCATCGCCCGATGGCTTCTGAGGCCAACCCACTCGACAAAACACAGTCCGGTCCTGCTGGAAGTGCCTGTCCATTAATTATGCTTCAGGGAAACTGGGAGGAAAGCGAAGCAAATGAGTGAGTAAACGGAAATACTGAAAAACACCCTCCCTTCCTGAGGGTCCTCAACCCGCATTCCAACACTAACAGGGAAAATCGCCACCTCGTGCCTCTGGAAACGGTCTTCCCGACTGGGCTGTGCACTGGCGTCTCTGAGCTGGGTCGTTCTTTCCTGCCATGTTCCTGGCACAGCGTGCACAGGCTAAGCCTGCAATCAAACCTTCTGTTTTTGGTGCTGCCCTCACACTGAATCTCTCTGAGCACGCCCAGTGTGCGAGGATCCAGCCCGGATGTTATTGCTGGCACAGGGCAGCACATCCTACAATCAGCACAGTGGCTCCACCCCAAAGTGACAGGCCCCATCACTGAGAAGCAAAGTCGTCACCGTGCCCACCTGACAGTCCCCTTCCTGGACCTGAGGCCTAAGCAGCGGCCGAGAGACAACTGAACAGTGAGGCCGAGCCGAGGGAGGCCTGGGACAGGACGAGCAGGGCACGCAGCCGGGGAATGCTGTCACCGAGTTCGCCCGGCTCCTCCGGCTCATGGTCCTAAGGCTTAGGACCTAAGCTGGTGAGAACCGCTCCGGAACTAGTGATGGGCACGCCAAGTATTTGTCAAAATCTGAGCGTTTCAATTGACATATGGGCCTTTCCAGTTGGATGTGTGGTAGATCAATGAAATGTAATATCTATATAACTATTTATGGTAGTCAAGGGACTGAAGGAGTTTTGGGTTCCAGAAGGCAAATAGCTTTTATTTTTCTCCTTTTTCAGAAGTCATCAAAATCCTTTTGGTCACAAAGTTTAAGAATCATCCCCTGTGCAGGGAATTGAGTCACTAGGAGATGAATTCTGTTTTTCAAACTAGAAATGTGAGCCCTAGCCAGGTAGCTCAATTGGTTAGAGCGTTGTCCAGATACACAAGCTTGTGGATTCGATCCTCAGTCAGGACACATATAAAGATCAACCAAATGAATGCATAGATAAGTAGCACAACAAAACTGACGTTTCTCTCTTTCTTTCTCTCCCCCCACCCACCCCTTCCTCTCTCTCTCTAAAAAATAAATTTAAAAAAATAGAAATGTGCATCAAAATCAAGAAAGAAATGCATGTTACACGTCAATAAAGTATATATTAATAAACAAGTCAATGGAGAATATCAAAACCTCCCGATCTCTGCCCCCTCCATGAAACGGTGTAAAAACACCCGTGTGAAAAGACTCAGAACCAAACTCTGCCCTCAGGTGGGGCTGCATAGCGTCCGGACGCATGTGCCACAGAGCTCATTAGGGAGAAGAAAGAACGGCTTATTTCGCAGAAGTGCTGAGCTGGTCCTTTCCAGTTGTAGACCGTGCCCTGGGAGGTGTCAGAGGCAAGCTGGGGCCTGAGCAGCAGCCACAGCCAAGGCCGGAGACGGCGGGCTGTTTCCCGCCTCCTACGGGTGTGCCTGGAGCGCAGCGGCACTCTCGTAGCCCGTGTTTCTGGCTCTCATTTTCCCTCCAATAAAGGCAGCCAGAGCTCTCTGAGCCAAGCCTAGTCTTGACTCCAGACCAGTGGTCGGCAAATTCATTAGTCAAAAGAGCCAGATATCAACAGTACAATGATTGAAATTTCTTTTGAGAGCCAAATTTTTTAAACTTAAACTATATAGGTAGGTACATTGTTATTAACTTAATTAGGGTACTCCTAAGCTGGCCTTTGCTAAAAATGTCCTCAATCCGACTGAGGTAAGTTGGCTGAGGTCGACCCCTTCCAACTCTCCCATCCACACTCGTCTTGTCTACTTGTTTCGTCTATCTCCTTTCGTTCATCCTCTCTATATGTCCAAATCATCTCAACATACCTTTCTCAATTCTCGACACTACATCTTCTTTCACTCCACAACGTTCCTTAAAATTAACTTAATAAACTTTACTTAAAGTTTTAAGTCAACTTCGCACTGTTCGTGCCCGCCCGCAAGTGGTATTTTGTGGAAGAGCCACACTCAAGGGGCCAAAGAGCCGCATGTGGCTCTCGAGCCGTGGTTTGCCAACCACTGCTCCAGACCATTCCCGTGGAAGCTCCGCACAGATGCGCTAGGGCAGATTCAGCCCGTGCACGTATTTATCACCAAACCCACTGCTCCCAGCTGTCTACACCAGCCTCAAACGCTCAGAGGAGCTGACTGCTCTGACACCCTGACCAGCAACGCGAGCAGGCTTCCCCTGAGGGATCCGTGCTAAACAGTGACCACCAAATGGCCAGCCAGGAGCACTGCCTGTCACACAGAACCCAATGACCAGATCCTGTGGTCGGGAAGGTTTATATCCCTCCCTTTCTCTTTACCAAGGCCTCTGATTGGTCAGGGCGGAGCCAGGGACTTAGACTCTGGTAAGATGCCTTCCGCCACACACGCCTCCTTGCCTGCGGAGAGGAAACTCCAGTGCCCTTGGCTCTGCTGCCTTAAAACATCCATGACCTTTGCCCCCCTCACGTCTTCTGTTCTACCTGCAGCATTTCGAGCACTGACCTGGCTGACGTTTTCCTATTGACTCAGGCTCTCAGCATCAAGCCAAAGGCTGAAGGCTGCCATAGACTCTAATATTCCCAGGATACTACACAGGCTGGAATGACACAGCATCTTCCCACCTAACAAGTCACAAGCACGGGGAGAGGGCACAGTAACTCGACCTCGACCCTCAGTGCTGAGACAACACCGAGAATGGGCTGGCTGCTTTTGAAGGGACCAGCTAAGGAAACTAGCATGGCGATCACAGGGCTCCTGAGAGTCCCCGATTTAACGGAAACCTGTCTCTCTCAACTCATTCCCTGGGCTACTCTTCCACACTGTCCACCTGGGGAAACACTTCTTAGCCGCTGAGTCTCCGGACCAGGGCCACCTCTGCTGTACCTACTGGAGCCCCTGAAGTGCCACTGCAGGCATGAGCTTAGGCAACTCTCCCCTTTTGGACTGTACGCTGTAGGCAGGCACCATGTCATATTTATGTTTGGTCTCCTTCGAGCCTTACACAGTACCTGGCATAAAAAGGGATCTAGTTAACTGCTGGCAAGGGGTCAATGAATCAACCCCCCCCCACCCCCCTCCACGAGCAGGTAAAGAATTCTGTCCTGCCCAGCCAGTGTGCCTCAGTGGTTGAGCGTTGACCCATGAACCAGGTCATGGTTCGATTCCGGATCAGGGCACATGCCAGGTTTCAGGCTCAATCCTCAGTGGGGAGCATGCAGGAGGCAGCCCGTTAATAATTCGCATCATTGATGTTTCTCTCTCTCTCTCTCTCTCCATATATATATATATATATATATATATATATATATATATATATACACACACTAGAGGCCCGTTGCAGGAAGATTCCTGCAAGAATAAGGCTTCCTCGGGCCTATTCCTGCAAGAATAGGGCTTCCTGAGACCGCAGCGGAGCAGAGAAAGGAGTGAAGCCCACCTCCCTTCGCCGCTTAGCCCTCGGCTCCCTCCCTTCTCTGCCACCTGGGCTCTCTCCCTTCTCCACCACTTTGCTCCCTCGCCAGGTCATGGATCCAAGGCCCAGATTCCCCGGGCAGCGTCAGGCGCTACCGGCCCCATCTCGCTGGGTCAGGGGTCCGGGGCCCAGGTCCCGCGGGCAGCATCGTGCACTGCCGGCCCTGCCTGCAGTATGCAAATTAGCTGTCGTCTTTGTTGGTGGTTAATTTGCATATCACGCTGATTAGCCAATGGGAGGCATAGTGAAGGTACGGTCAATTACCATGTTTGTCTATTATTAGATAGGGTGTGTGTGTGTGTGTGTGTGTGTGTGTGTATAAAGAATTCTGTCCCTTTTAAAGAACCTTCTCCCTCCCCTTCCCTCGGAAGTCACATACCTTGTGGAGCTTGTCAGCGTTGTCGCAGTAACCCTGAAGTTCCTGGTGAAGCACGCGGTTCTCCTCTGTTAGTATCTCCACCATCTGCTGGGCTCGCTCCACAATCGCAAAGGCATCGGGACCCAGCTGCTGGCTGGGGGAGGCGGCAGGCGGCGGCTGCGGGGCGGCCAGGGTCACTGGGAGTGGCAGCGGCAAGGAGGTGGAGTGCAGAGGCCCGCTGACCGAGGAGTTCTGGGAGGACATGGGGCTGTGCTGCTGCACTGTTGACGGGAAAGGAAGCTGGCATGGGCGGCTGCAAGGGAACAGAAGACCAGCAATCAGACCCGGGGAAGTGGTGCAGGAGGAAGGAAGGCCCAGCAGTATATGCATATCGATGCTTCCATGACCAGAGGTCATCAGTGAACTTCCCAATGCTGGGCTGAGTACAGCAGGGTCAGTCCTTCAGGCCACAGATCTACTGCCTCCCTCCGAATCAGCACTGCTCTGGTCACTGGGGGTACATTGAACGAGACAGGTAAGGCCCTCCTCATGAAGTGCACAGTCTCAGGGAGAGGGACAGGCCAGCCACCGAACAATAAACAAACAAAGCCGGGTATTGAAGAGGAATGAGTCCTCTCCAAAAACCAAGCAGAGTGGTGGGGCAGTGGATGACAAAGTGGCCAGTTCACACTGAGAGGTCAGGGGAGGAGTCTGCGAGAAGCTGATGCTTGAGTTGAAGTCTGAATATCAGACTAGCGGTTGGGGGAGGGAGGAGAGAAGTGGGGAAGGAGTATTCCAGGGAGGGAATTGCTAGTGCTCGGGGCTCAGGTAGGGCCGAGAGCGGGCAAGATCTGACGCAAGCACAACCAGCAAAAGCAGTGAAAGCTCAGACCAGAGGGATGGACAAGGGCCTTCACAAGCAAGGCCGGCCGTTCCCTAGGGTGTAAACAGAGGCCGGTGGAAAAGCCGCCTGTACTCTGACTTGTACAGATGGTACATCGGTGGCAGGAACGGACAAAAGGCACCCACTGAGGAGGCCTTGGTGAGGTCTAGGTGGGACTGACGAAGGCTCACAGGGCAGAGCAGAAGAGAAGTAATGGGTGGATTTTATGTATATCATGGATGGGGAAAGTAAGTGAGAAAAAAAATTACTCCTAGATGTTGGGCTCCACACAAATGGGGTACCATTTAATGAAATGGGGGGAAGTCTTGGGGAAGGAACTAATTTCTTTGTGTTCTGATTTGCCAGGGTGAGGAGGTCTGGAAATCAAGTCTAATTTTAACCATGTTGAAAAGAACACACAGAGGTGTCTCCTTGACTTTTCGAATTCCGGGTCCAGCTCTACATTTAAAACATGAATTTCCATCTCCTGTCTCCACTCCTAACAATCCCCTCCTCACTCCTGTTAACCTGTTTCATAAAAACCATCGTCTTTGCTTTCAGCCTAAGCCAAGGCCTCCCAATAGCAACCTTTACCGGTATAAACACAGCAAAGACCGTCTCCATGCCTAGCTCCCCAACCACAGCTGCCTCTCTTCTGCAGGGAATTGGGAAAACGAGGTTCCTTGCTGACCCCCTCAACCTTCAGGTCTCAATCTGGGAACCGGGGCTCTAAGAATTATAGCAACCCCCAAATCACCAACATTCTGTCTCAAAGGCTGGGTCCTCTGGAGATCCAGCTACTTCTAATCCGTAAGCGTCAGCCTGTGTCACCTCCTGTTACTTGGGGCCATCCATAGCCAAAGCTCCCAGGACTACCCCCAATTTTCCCAGGAGGTGGTCTGGCCTTGTATACTTGCTGGAACGTTTTTGGACCCCGCCAGCCTCCAAATCTCACATTTTACAAGCATTTCTTGTAGCCAGGATTCCTCTGAGTGTGACTCCTGGCAGCTAAATGTCAAACTCCGGAAGGCAATTTGACAAGGGTCTCCTGAGCCCTCCCTCACAGACACCCAGCTATTCATAAAGATGGCCACCCAATAAACCTGGCAGATCCTGACAGAATTCTGACCACAGGCCTTGCCTGGGTAGGGAACTAACATCAGCGGCTCCACCTGAGCTGGGGAGGTATTTCCCGACCAGATTCCTCACGCCTTCAATCCAGAAGCCCTTCCATTTCCTGTGAAAAGAGCTGGGATCCGGGTTCCCCAAGGCAAGGTGAGCCATGGAGCCAATGTGGTTCTTTAGTCCTTAAGTGAGCTTCACCTTCCAGCCATCCTCAGATTTCAGAAAGGAATGCTGCCCGAGGGAGATGTAAGCCCTCCCTCCCCTCCCTCTCCACACCTATTACACAATGATCTGGTCGTCCCTTTAGAAGTAAACCGTGTGTGCATCTTGATGGAAATGTGTGATATGTGTCGGCCTGTGTCTGTGCGTAGGAGGTCCAACTCCATCCCAGGAGGGAAATGCCCCCGAGGGCCATTCACAATGCCCAGCTTTCACCCAGGTTCCAGGTACGCCTGTCTGGGGTGAACCCACAAAAACCACAGATCTGTTACTGAGTAAGTGCATTCCTGAAGGCTGGCTAAGTCCTGCCGATCACGTCTCATGGGAAGAGGTTACCTTGGCGAAAGACAAAATAACCACACATTACACCGCCTCGACTCAAAGGCAGACGCCCATTCCCACGTCCTAAGCACTCCCTTCACGCTGCGTCCAATGCAAGGGATGTGTGTCGGTCTCCTTGGAGCTGAGGGACCCAGGCGAGCCGACAGTCCTGGCTTTCGGAGCACCAGGGCTTCCCTCTGACCCATGCAGCTTTGCCAAGCTCAAGGGACAGGAAAGAACAGGCCTTTCCAAAGTGGGGAGTCTTCTATTAAACAGAGAACACTGGCCTCACAGACAACTCGGTGACACATTCAATAGACTCCACGTTACAATGGACGATGTGCAGGCAGGAGAGCAAACCTCTATTCCTTGGTCCCACTACTCAGCCAGCTTTGGGCTTAGAGTAAATGCAGGGGGAAAGAGAATACTACTGATCAGCCACCAGTGGGATAAGTATCTTATAGTAATGGGGACACAGAGAAAAGGGAAAAAGGGGGGACAGAACCATCATTTATTGAGAAACTACCTGCGAATAGAACTCCATGCTACCATTGTCTACTTTGTGAGCCGATTTCCCGTTAGATGGTAAAGTCAAGAGAGCTAGCTTATTCGATATCATGTGTCTCAGTTTCCTGGGACTATATGCCATTTAGCTCATCGTTACAGGAATTCAGGAGTTAGTATGTACAAAGTAAACCTTGGACAAATGTTGGCTAGTAATCACCATTACTATAATTATCATTTGTATTCCACAGCCCCAATTCGGAGCCTAGCACTGAGTGTGGCATTCATGAGAAGTCCAGTAAAATTTTCCTGTTATGGTTCACATTGACTGGGCACTTACTACAGTCCAGCCACTGTGGTAGGCACGGCCACATGCACCATCTCCTATTGACCTACCGCCAGTCTCTCTGTTTAGATGAGAAGAGCAAAGCACAGATGGTAACTTGCAAAATACGTGCAACAGAGATATTAGGAACATAAAGGAGATCCAAGCCCTGGCTTTCTGATTCCAGAGTCTATGCAGCTCACCATTTCCCTGTATTGGTGAAAGCAGAGAGGGCAGGCAGCCCCCGTGGGTCTTCTGCTCCTGGGTTCCTGTGGCCCAGTCTGAGCCACCATCATGTCCACAATTCACACCCTAACACCTGAGGCTCCAACATCCTCCCAGGGAAACATGAAGGCTAGAAACCTGCCTGAGTTGCTCTCTTATAATCAACTGAGGCTCAGAGAACGTGTGCAATTTGACACAAAGTGGAAGAGCCAGAACTCCAACCCCCTTGAACCTTACTTTCCCAAACTCACAGCTTCCCGATGTGTTTTCCCTTTGGCTGTGCAGACACCGTAATACTGACAAATGTTCATATTGAGACTCAACTCTTGGGTGAACTATGGTCATAACTATTGCCATGCAGGATGGATAGCAATAATCCTCTTGTTTGGAGAAGTCACTCATTTAATTCAGTACAGCTGGAATTGTGTGAGGTTTCCTGAGAAAGTAACCTGAACTTGACCCTCTCCTTTTGAAATTCCCATACTGCAGAGCTGTTTTTCAGGATAAACAGGGCATTTGACTTGGCTCAGCCAGCTATAATTCAGCTTAAAAACTGGAGAAACTCCTGAGTTCTAATGCTGGTATTCAAAACACATGTTTAGCTGGTGGAATTTAAACAAGGCTCCACGGCCTCATTTTGTTACGGACAATGCATAGTTTTTCATCCAATAGCCGTGGGCCTGGCTTACCTTTTGGCCCCACACAGCAACTGATTTTCCCAACTATATAAACTGCAAATCATAACCCCCCACTTTGGAAATGCAGACTTACTGCAGACATGCTCCTTCCTCCTCCAGCCATTTCCGACTCAAGGAAGATGGGATTGTCAAACATGCTTTCTCCAGCACGTTCCAAACCTCAGGCCCGCCAAGGGTCCGCCCTGCTCTTTAGCACATGTCTTTATGCTTGTTCACGATTTAATCTACATTCTGGCAGCATTGTTGGGTTGACATGGGTTTCTTGTGGAGAGAGAGGCATTCTTTCTAATTTGCCACATGTCCTCCGGGGCTCTGTCCCCCTTTGCTCCCTGCCTCCTCCCTGCACTGTCACTTGGCATGTTCCCAAGAAAATGTCAGTAACTTTGACTCCATCTATATATATAAAAGGCTAAGTAACTGACTCTCTGTCCAACTGGCTGACCAACCAAGTGGCTGGTACATATGATGCGCACTGGCAATCCTATATAATAAAAGCCTAATATGCTAAGTGTCCGGTCATCCATTCAACCAATCAAAGCATAATATGCTAATGATATGCTAAGGCCACTCAACCGCTCGCTATGACATGCACTGACCACCAGGAGGCAGATGCTCTGACCGGTAGGTTAGCTTGCTTCTTCTTCTTCTTTTTTTTTTTTGCAGTAACATTCCCCTTTAATAGCCTGGCGGGACCTCAGTGGTGGAGGAATGGGGTGGTGGGGCCCCAGCCACCCAGTCCCCTTGGCCACCCACCCCAGAGCCCAGAGTGGGAGGCTGTACGGCACCCAGCGGGGGACTAGACAAGCCAATTCATTTCCCATCGCTGAGCGGGTTGAGAGGAGGCAGCTCCGACCTTAATCACATGGTGGTTAAAAAAAAATAACTAGGAGCTAGTGGCAGGAAGGGGAGGCAAGGCTAGGGCATGGAATGACCCCACCTGCTGCCCCAATCCCTCCCTTAGGGAGACGGGCTGGACATACCCTGGAGCCCTCCCACAGCCCCTCCATGGCTGG